CACAATTAAGTGTTCTGGAATTCCCATTCTTTGCAATGTTATTCATAATTTGTTATGATACACACAGTCAAATGCCTTAGCATAGTCAGAACACAGGTAAACATTTTTCTGGTATTCTCTTCTTTCAGCCAGGATCCATCTAACATCAGCTATGATATCCCTGGTTTGACGTCCTCTTCTGAATCCAGCCTGAATTTCTGGCTGTTCCCTGTCTACATACTGCTGCAGCCACTTTTGAATGATCTTCAGCAAAATTTTACTTGCGTGTGATATTAATTATATTGTTCAATAATTTCTGCATTTGGTTGGACTGCCTTTCTTGGAAATAGGCATAAATATGGATCTCTTCCAGTCAGTTGGCCAGGTAGCTGTCTTCCAAATTTCTTGGCATGCATAAGTGAGCACTTCCAGCGCTGCTTCCGTTTGTTGAAACATCTCAATTGATAATCAATTCCTGTAGCATTGTTTTTCGCCAATGCTTTCGGGGCAGCTTGGACTTCTTCCTTCAGTACTGTCAGTTCCTGATTATATGTTACCTTTTGAAATGGTTGAACTTCTACCAATTCTTTTTGGTATAATGACTGTGTATTTCTTCCATCTTCTTTTGATGCTTCCTGCATCATTTAATATTTTCCGCATAGAATCCTTCACTATTGAAACTTGAGGCTTGAATTTTTTCTTCAATTGTTTCAGCTTGAGAAATGCTGAGCGTGTTCTTCCCTTTTGGTTTTCTATCTCCAGCTCTTTGCACATGTCATTATAATACTTTACTTTGTCTTCTCAAGCCGCCCTTTGGAATCTTCTGTTCATTTTTTTTACTTCATCATTTCTTCCTTTTGCTTTAGCTACTCGGAGTGACATTTAAACTACCTATCAAAGCAAACAACTAAGGGAAAACTCTACAGAGAATATTTTTAATCCTAAGAATTAAACTTGAAATATGCATATTATGATGGTGTTACATACACCTGGAGATTAATGGATTTTTATTCTCAAGAAATTTTGGACAATGCAAGTCAAAAATCACAAATTTATATCCATTCAAGTCTCTTTTAAATTGAAGAAGAGATGATTTTTTAAGGTAGCAATGTCACCTCTGATTATTCAGTCTGCCCTGGCTGGGGTAAGTGCTGCAGGATTAAAACCCACCATTAGATGACTGATTTGAAAGAAAACTATTGGAAGAAAAGCCAACAGTAAAATAACCTATAGTTTGTTTAACATTCTAGCTCTATAGTATAGATTCTTAGAAATTAAAGGTTATCATAAGGCTTTTCTGACCTGGCCCTCATCCTTTCACCTTTGTTTACTCCACTTCCCAACAAGACTCAGTGGGACAGCCACATTAGCTTTCCTGCTCTTCCCAAATACACCTACTAGGCTTCTCCTGTAGTCTTTGTACCTGATGTTAAGGATGCCTGGAACACTCCCTAAATTCATATCTCTACTTAAATGTCACCTCTATGCATAGTACTTGCTCATAAGCCTATATAAAATAGCCACCCATGTCCACGACCCTCCCATTGTTCTCTCTTACCTGCTTTGTTTGTCATCATAGCACTTATCACTACTGTATCAGTCAGAGTTCTCCAGAGAAATAGGACCAGTAGGAGGTGATAGATAGATAAATGATAGGTAGGTACATAGATATATAGATGGATACGTAGATTTATTTCAAGGAATTGGCTTACACACTTGTCAGGGCTGGGAAATCCAAAATCCATAGGGTTGACTGGCAGACTAGAAACTGATGCAGAAGCTGCTGCTATAGTATTGAGGCAGAATTTCCTCCTCCTCAGGGAAACCTCAGTTTTGCTCTGTGGCCTTTCAACTGAGTGGATGAGGCACACCCATATTATCAAAGATAATCTCCCTTACTTAAAGTAAATTGATTTTAAATGCTAGCCACATCTACAAAAAAATCTTCACAGCAACATAGATTAGTGTTTAATTGAATAACTGGGTACTATAGCATAGCCCTGGTGGCACAGTGTTTAAGAGCTACAGCTGCTAGCAGTTCGAATCCACCAGTCGTTCCTTGGAAACCCTATAGAGCAGTTCTACTTTGTCCTATAGAGTCGCTATCAGTCAGAAGTGACTTGATGGCAACAGGTTTGGGTTTGGTTTATAGCCCAGCCAGGTTAGTGTTGGCTCAGTGGTAGAACTCTTGCCTTCCATACTGGAGACCTGGGTTTGATTCCTGGCCTATGCACCTCATGCACAGCCATCATCTGTCTGTCAGTGGAAGCTTGTGTTTTGCTAGGATGCTAAACAGCTTTCAGCATAGCTTTCAGACTAAGACAGACAAGGAAGAAAGGCAGGGCAATCTACTTCTGAAAATCAGCCTGCGAAAACTATGGATCACAATGGTCTGATCTGCAAATGATCATGGGAATGGCCCAGGATTGGGCGGCATTTCGTCCTGCTGTGCATGGGATCACCACAAGTTGGGGGCTGACTCCGTGGCAATTAACAACAACAAGACTTAGGTAATTAGGTCTTTTTTCCTCCTATCACAGAGGAAAGAAAAAACAACAACAACACAGAAATACTGATTAATCTGTGGGTTGCCTAGTTAGAAACATTATTTCAGATTATATAATTTTCTGTCTCTTAACAAATGATTTTTCTGTGCTCAGCAAAGCTCAGCCCAGAAGGAGAGAGAAGGTATAGGTAGGTCTCAGCCCTGGGAGAAAGGATTGCTTGGGCCTCTCCCTCTACAGAGCTCAGTTGCATAAAGAGGGGCTAGGGGTGCAGGCGGGGGAGCCAGGACTAAATCAAAATGAAATTGAGCAGAACTCATGTGGCCTTAAGAATTTGAGAGAAGGGAACCATAGACAGATAGACAGCTAGGAAAAGACAAATTATGGGCAAGCTTCTGATCTCTGCAAAGGTTATCTGCATTGTGGATTACAATAACATTTACCTCACAGGTTTGATATGACAATTAAGTGAAATAACAAATGCCCTTTATTAAACACTATTGAAAACTCAGTTACCATTATTATGTTAAAAAATAATGTTTCTGAACCTGTCCCCTTGCTATCTTGTGATAGACTCCTTCTAGTAGAATATTTTTTAAACAATGTTTTTTGATTTTTTAGCCTCCCAGGCTGGGATAAAAAAATGGTATATCTAGGTTCATCCTGAGTCTTCCAGCTCTTCCAAGAATTGACTGGACCCAGGCTGAGCCATCATGGTCTAAGAAAACAATTAACTTTATGTCTTCCAAATGCCACATGCATCTCAAGGGGAAGCTTACCTGGACCCTGAGAGTCTTTTATTCAGAGGCTATGAGTGGAAGAACAGAGGTGTAGGAGATTTGTCCAATTTTTTAGTTTTCTTTTCCTGCACATGCACTCAACTCCGCCTCCACCCCAAACCCCTGCTTTTAAATGTCCAGTGTTAAAATGTGCCTAGTTTAGTTCAACTTTATAGATATTCTAGAAGAACTTAAATCAAAGTTAGCCCACAGTGGTTGTGTGACAGACAGGAACCTCTGATAAACTCTTTTGGGATAGGGTCTTTCACTTCCCTTGTTGCATGAAGGCTTTGTTGTTGTTAGCTGTTGTCAAGTCACTCCCCTACTCATGGCAACCCCATGCATGACAGAATGAAAAGCTGCCCAGTCCTGGGCCATTTCCATGATCGGTTTTGGATTGGACCCTTGTGATCGATAGGGTTTTCATTAACTGGATTTTGGAAGTCTATCACCAGGACTTTTTTCCTAGTCCTTCTTAGTCTGGAAGTTCAGCTTAAACCTATTCAGCATACTGCAACATGCAAGCCTCCACTGCCAGACAGGTGATGGTGGCTGTGTGTGAGGTGCATTGGCCAGGAATTGAATCTGGGTCTCCCACGTAAAAGGTGAGACTTCTACCACTAAACCACCAATGCCTCCTCATTATGAAGGCTTTATACTCAGAGAATCTGGATTTGAACTCAGTGCCTCCATTTCTGGCTATGTAACTGAAGTTAAAGGAGCGCTGGTGGTGCAGTGGTTAAGTGCTCAGCTACCAATCAAAAGGTCAGCAGTTCAAATTCACCAGCCATTCAGTGGGGAAAAGATGTGGTAGCCTGCTTCCATAAAGATGATAGCCTTGGAAACCATATGGGGCAGTTCTCTGCCCTATAGGGTTGCTATGAGTTGGAATTGACTGGATGGCAACAGGTTTAACTGAAGCCAAGGCCCTTAAACCTTAAACTCTCTGACTCAGTTTTCTCATCTGAAATGAGGGTGTTTCCCTAATATTAATTATGTATGGAACATGTTTAAGGAAAATAAGTTCTCACTGGACTGCTGATTTGACTTAATTTTATTATAATTTTACTTATTTATCCATATGAAATTCAGTATACCCTCCTGAAGTTTAGATTTCTTGAACAATCATGAAATCAAAGAAAATTTTCAAAATGAGTACAGAAAGATCATCAAATTAGTAAACTCAAATCACATCATTAGTTTAATGTGATAGATGATGTCTTAATGCAATAACATCATCACTCAAAAAGTGATATAGACTGCTGTGTCACAGGTTCTTCTGTGGAAGTCATGCCCATATTATTTTGTGTGTGTGGACCCCATTCTGCTAATATATTATTGTTCCTGAACTGAAGTGAACTTATCTATATAGTTTTCCCTAAAGTGATCTGGCTTTTAATTACCGCAAATACATCATCTATGTTGCAAGCTGACCTCGGTTCTTTACTCATTAACCCAGGACAGTTGAAATAAAACTAATAATGACCTTGTGATTGTAAGCACAAATATATTTGATTATAAGATAGATATTTACATGATGTAGAATACGCTTAAATTAATTTGTAATATGAAAATGGAAACACAAAAATTTTAAATGCTCACCAATGACTTGTAGAATTCCACCTCCGACAAGAATATACCCTCGGTTTTCAGTTTGAAAAATGCTATTTTTCAGAGTTTTCATGAGATAAACAAGGAAACAAATGACTAGATCGTAGTAAATGAACAATAAACGAGTCCTTGGTTTCATTTCCTATAGACTCGTAACCCCAAAACACACATACACATGAACACACACATAGTCACAATAAATTTAACTTACTATCAAAGACTATATTCCAAGAAAGGGTGACTATTTGCCTCAATGATTACAAGTCTATGATTAAAATGAATGAAGAGAAACAAATGTTGTCAGCAATCTCAGATATTTTTATATTTTAGCATTTACTCTAAAGTTATCAATTTTGAAATTCTCAGTCAATTGTTAACTTCTGGGTTAATGCATCGCTTCTAGGTTTGTCCAGTGAGAATACATAAATAGGTCATTTTGAATATCATAAAAAGTATTTGTCATTGCTTACATAATAGTGGAATAAATTTTAATGTAGCTTAGAATAATTTAAATAAAAGCTAGAAAAATATCTGACAATTCATTTGTTGCATATTCTATATTTATATTCAGCATACCAAGAATGATAAAAGTCCACATTTTCATAATTTTATTACTGAAACAAATATGACCAACATCTTTTTTTTCTTTTCAGATGAATTGAAGTGTTTTCTATGGTTTAAAATCATGCAAAAAAAAAATGTGTGGAATACGGAATACTTGAGATTTTTTTTTTAAACATCAACTATTCTTCCAAGAATTGAAAAATGTTTTGCAGCTGGTGATGGACAATTAAATGATATTATTTCTTATATGTTGTCTAAATCAAACTCTTCTTGAGTAGCTTATTCTGAAATAAATGTCAATTAGTCAAAACTTTTATGATCTTTTAATTACTTAGAAATAAAATGGAGTTTTGACCTCTGGTGCATTCAGCACAGACTTTATAATTGTCTGTAGCTTTTGCTGTAATTCTAGTGCATTGCAAACTACAAACATGTTTTAAAGAGTTGACTTAGGGAAAAGAGAAGAGATCAATGGAAAGAAGCAAGGTTCACAGTAGAATATAATTATTAAATCTACACATAATTCCTAACTTAAAATTTATTCCCCTAGCTTCAGTTATTATAAGCAACCTGTATGAGAATTTTCCCTTTTCACTTAAAGTGGATTTCCATACTATAATATACTTCATTACCATGAATATCAGTTTACCATTTGCCATTGAGTCAACTCTGACTCATGGCAACCCCATGTGTATCAGAGTAGATCTGTGCTCCATAAGGTTTTCAGTGGCTGATTTTTTGAAAATAGATCACCAGGCCTTTCTTCTGAGGTGCATCTGGGTGGACTTGAACTTCTAACCTTTTGGTTACCAGTTGAATGCATTAACCATTTGCACTACTCAGGGACTCCTATTATCATGAATAGTAAAGTTAAACTTTCAAGTTCTGCCTTGGTAGTCCAGAGTTAAAATCTATTATAGCAAATATTGTATAGGATCTGTGACAATGGATTAGGGATGAGGGTAGAGAGTTTTGGATGCTGTACTGCAGATATAAATCAAACTAGATATTTCTCTGTCTCTTCCTTAGCAAGAACAATACACAACCTTGTTGTTTCAAGATGAAAAGGAAAAGCTACATTCCATTCCAAACATGGAATTAAAATATTATTTTAATGATTAAGAAATATATTATATATACATTATATTTAATATATATGTATGTATTAAGCTTCTGTAAGTTAAGATAGGCCAAAATACAGTGGCTTAAATATGATAGATATTTATCTTTCTCTCATATAGTAGTCCAGAGGTGAGCAATATAGGGCAGCAGGGTAACTCACTTCCATGAGGTTATTCAGGGACACAAGTTCCTTCTATCTTATTGCTCCACCATCATCATGAACATTGTGTCTATCTGTAATGTTGAAGGTGACCACCTCTACATTCCCATTCTAGCCTGTGGGAAGGGGAAAAAAGGAAGGTCCAGGATAAACACCTTCTTCCTTTAGAAGATGACCTGGAAGTTGTAGGCATCACTTATAGATGCACATACTAAATGCAGTCACATAGCCTCACCTAGCTGCAAAGCAGACTGGGAAATGTAGTCTGTACCTGAATGGCTATGTGTCTATTATAACTGGAAGAATTATATTACCAAAAGAAAAGAGGAAATGGAGACTGCCAAACTTTCTGTAGTGTGTGTGTGAACGCACACCTGTGTTCCTATAAATTTCAGGAATTAACCAGTGAGATAATAAGGGCTTCAACTACCTAGAAATAACAAAACCAGTTTTGAACAAAAAGCCATAAATTTTAAACTCAACTGAAAAAGTATAGATTTCTTTCTAAAAAGCATATCTTAAATTCTTAAATTAGGAGTAGGAAAAGAAAGGTTAAGAGAAAAGTTAAGAGCAAGGACCTACAATCCCTGAGGGGTTGAACACATTCTATACCATTCATTCAAACTGTCTTTCGTTGACCGGGGAATCCTGGTGGTGTAGTGGTTAAGAGCTCAGCTGCTAACCAAAACGTTGGCTGTGGCAATCCACCAGCCACTCCTTGGAAACCCTATGTCCTATAGGGTTGCTGAGTCAGAATCAATTTAAGGCAACTGGTTTTGGTTACAGGTTTCATTGGCCAGCATGGCAGAGTGGAGGGAGCTTTAGTTTTCTTATGTGAAACATGTAACACTGATACTGTGGGGTTCTGTGAGAGTTAGCTATAATTGATTTATAAGATGAACACATGTATAGTGTGTATTTACCCAACACAATGCTTGGAACATACTAGGTATCTTATAAATAATATAGACTATCATCAGTATTACCTTAAGCAAACACTGAGTTATGAATTGTATTACCAGTAATTGGTATTTAGTGGCCATGTACAGACGAAATAAACATTGCAGTCCTCAAGGAGCACTCAGAGTCTAGGGGTAAAGCTAGTCAGGAAAATAAACAATTTTAATGATATGTAATAAAAATTTCAATAAATTTAAGCATGTGATGCTATAAGGCCTCAAAGGAAAAGTACCCAACTTAGCAAAATTTTGTGTACAGTAAGTACTGTTTAAGTACTAACTTACTTTTTAGAAAATTTTTATAATTATAGTGGTAAAGTAAAAATAAGGAACCCTAGTAGCACAGTTGTTAAGAGCTCAGATGCTAACTGAAAAGTCAGCAGTTCAAACCCCCTAGCTGCTCCTCAGGATAAAAGACCTGGCGATCTGCTCCCATAAAGATTATAGCCTAGGAAACCCTAGTTCTACTCCATCATATACAGTTACTATGCATCAGGATTGACTCGATAGAACATAACAATAACAACAAAGTAAAAGTGCTGATATTATACAATTGAGGCAAAGATTAAAATGATTCCAAAAAAAAAAAACAATCCCACTGCCATCGAGTCAGTTCTGACTCATAGCGACCCCATAGGGTTGCCAAGGCTGTAAATCTCTATGGAAGCAGACTGCCACATCTTTCTCCCATGGAGACACTGGTGGTTTCGAACCACTGAACTTTTGGTTAGCTGTCAATCGTTTTAACCACTGTGCCACCAGGGATACTTATTAAAATGATTAAGCATGATAATTTACTAAACTTTAGCTTTAATCAGTTGCTTATTATACAATATTAGCTTACTCTGTGATAACTATTTAAAAAAAAAGAACCAACATTTATGAAATGTGGATATATACCATCAACAACTGTGGCTAAAACATGAGTTCTCAAAATGGAGGAAAAAAGATATCATCTGGAAATTGAAGGGTCACCACAGGGAAAATGGAGAAATAGCTAAAATATAAGATGAAGAGCAATATTAAAATATTCCTATTATCCAAGTTAAAACAGAAAGTTCACAGTTTCATAGAAGTTATAAGAAATACAGCATATCACTGATCTTCTATATGATGAAACATTCTCTGCCCAGATTTCCAGAAGTGTTAGTAAGACACTCTTGAATCAGCAGCAGAATCACCTACTCTATCTCCTTTCTAAATTCCTTGCAAAATCACC